GGTCTGTTCCTAATACTTCCCATGGACCATTAGGTATTTCTTTAGATATCATTGGTTTTTTAGTATTAGCTTTTTGTAAACTTAAACTTGTTTGACAATTCAGTACCAAATCTTCAATTTCTTTCGACATTCCTGGCCAATATAATATTTCTCTTGCTTTGATCTTGCATTTTACTATTCCTAAATAACCATAATGAATTCTGCTTAACATATTTTTTCGTAAACTTCTTGGTACAACAACACAGGAATTTTTAAATATTAATCCATTTGCTTCTGATAGTTCTTCTGTGAAGTTAAAATATGGTTTTGCCAGTTCTGGAACCATACATTTTTCATCTGGCCATCCAGTTTTAATTAATTTTCTTAAAACTTGTAGTTCTTCATCTTTTTCTGTTTCCATTTGAAAAACTTCCATTTTACTATTAGACGTTGGTTACAACCAATCCAACATGAGCTTCTATGTCTCCTTCAAAGAAAGATCCTTTATCAGTGAATGATCTTGATAATGCATCCGCTATAAAAAGTTCTTTTCCTGGTTTGTATTTTATCTCAAACTAATATAGCTGTAATCTTATACGCATTCTTTGTAGTCTTACAGGGCATTTATTTAATGGCTTTTTGAAAATTGATTCCAGTGGTTTATGGTCACTTTCAACAGTAATATATTTTCCAAATATATACTGGTGAAATTTCTCATACGCGAATACAAAAGCTAAAGTTTCCTTTTCAATTTGAGCATAATTCTTCTGTGTATCTGTTAATGCCTTAGATGCATATGCTACTGGTAGATTATTCTGAAGTAAGACTGCTCCTAGTCCTTCTTGAGATGCATCTACAGATAAAACTACTGGCATCTTTATATTGTAAAACTGGTTTATTTACTAAGACATCTTTTAGTCTTCTAAATGCTTTTTCATGTGTTGCATTCCAGTTCCAGATGACTTGTTTTTTCAACAAATCTCTTAAACATGATGTCAATTCTGATACAATAGGTATAAATCTAGAAACATATGTAATCATTCCTAGGAAAGTTTCTAATTCTTTCACATTTTTTGCTGGTTTTTATATCTAGAATAGCCTTAATTTTGTCTTCATCTGGTTTTAAACCATCTTTAGAAAATATATGTCCCATATATTTCACTTCATTCAACCCAAATTTACATTTATTTAAATTAAATTTAACATTCTTTTCTCTGGCTCTGTCCAACAACTTCTTTAATCTTAAATCATGTTCTTTTTTATCTTTACCCCTAACAAATAAGTGATCTATATATATTTGAACTCCTTCTAAATCACTAAAAATTTCAGAAAAACTTCTGGTGATGAACTCAGTCCGTATGGCAACCTCAAAAAACAAAATCTACCAAACGGAGTGTTAAATGTAGTAAATTCGCAACTTGAATCTGACAGTTTAATTTGCCAAAATGCTTTGTTTGCGTCTAAAATATTAAAGGCCTTTGCATTTGTCATTTGAGATGAAATTTCTTCAAAGGTTGGTATGTGATAATGTTCTCTCAGTATATTTTGGTTAAGGTGCTGAGGATCTAAACACACTCTTAAATTACCATCCTTTTTCCTTACTACCACTAATGAATTCACGAATTCTGTTGGTTGGTTAACTTTCTTTATAATACCATCTTTTTCCATTCTTCCTAATTCCTTTTTTAATGGATTTGATAAGCTAAGTGGAATTTTCCTACAGGTTTCTATTTTACCAACAGCTCCTGGTTTTAATTTAATATAATATGTATATCCAGTTAAATTCCCAATTCCTTTAAACAAATCTTGATACCCTTTTAAAGATTCTGGTGACTTTTCATTGGAATCAGGATTTACTGTACAAATCCTTTGTATTAGGTTTAATTTTTGCAATGTAGGTAAACCTAAAATAGCTGAAACAGTTTTATCACATGCTACGACTTGAAATTCTACTTCATCCTTGTTCCCTTTTGATGTTTCACATAATATAATTTTTGCAATGTAGGTAAACCTAAAATAGCTGGAACAGTTTTATCACATGCTACGACTTGAAATTCTACTTCATCCTTGTTCCCTTTTGATGTTTCACATAATAATTTACATTTTCCAACTACATCAATTGTAGTACCATTGTAATTATTTAAAGTAACTTTTGATTTAATCAAACATTTATCTCTTAAATTTAATTGTTTAAATTTAGGCAATGGTAGCACATTATACTGAGCTCCTGTATCCAACTTAACAAATAAATATTTAGATATGTGTTTACTTTTAGTTTTTCAAACCATTCTGTTCTATTTTTAGAAAATGGATTTGTATCTCTTGTACTGACCCTAAAATATATTCATTACCATTATTATGTAATGCATGCTGTAAATTATTCTGTACAACATTAACATTTTTGTAAGTGCACATTTTAGAAAAGTGATTTTTCTTTTTACAGTACAAGCAAATCTTATTATAAGCAGGACAATTGTATAACTTATGAAAAGTTCCACATTTTCTACATGGTTTTGGATTATTGTACTTATTTCCTTGATAGTTTGAAGAAGAATTTGTACTTTGTTGTTTTTGTTTTACATGATAGTTTTTTTTACAAGGCTGACTTTTTTCCTTTGAAGGTGGAAATTTATTACATTTGATCGCTTCTATTTTATTTTTTCAGGTTAAAGTTTTCAGCTGAAGTTCTGCTAATTCAGAAGCTTTAAATACTTTAATACATTTTAATACTTTCTCTTCATTTCCATTTTAATCATGTTAACTGATCTTCCCTTAATAATCTATCTTTGAGATTTTTCATTTAGAATTTCACTTACTATTCTATCTCTTATTAAAGTATCTTTTAATTCTCCAAATCCACAGTTGCTACTTAATTTCTCTAAATCGGTTAAGAAATCATCAACCGATTCACCTACATGTTGTGTTCAACAGAAAAGTATATGTCTATCAACACTTTTGTTTGCTTTCGGTACGCAAAAATTTTCGAGAGCTTCAATTACTTTGTCAACATCCTTCTCATCTTCTTCACTTAAATTAAAAGTACAGTCAAAAGTCGTTAATCCGGACTCGTCGGGACTTCGGCGATTCCGGATTATCGATTTTTCCGGATTATAGATCATCAGTTTAAATCTCGTAAGATGGCATGCAGAAATTCTAAAATTAAAAATATGAAACCGTAATTTATGAAATGAAAAAAAATTATGATCTAAAGGGTATCAAAATTTACAAGAAAAAAGCTTAATATTTATTTGTTTATTTTATTAAACATTTCTTTCAATGTAAGTTGTTTAGGTTGCTTTGTTTTATGTGATAATGCTTTCTCTTTAATTCTATAAACAGACATAATTTCTTGTTCAGTTACAAAGTTCCGCTGTTCAAGTCCCGTTAATTGCTGTGCCGAGAATACTGACTAACTTGTCAATCGAAATTTTTTCGTTTGCACTAACCTCTCTGTCACATTCTTCATGTCTTTATCCATTTTTTGCAGCAATTCCACTTTTTGTTTGATGGTCATCGAAACATACTTTCGTTTTGTACGATCCTTTGGGAGCTCCAGAATCGGAAATTCTATTTGACATAATCGAAAGTTCAAGTTTACTTTTATAATATTGCTCTTACAGTCTGCAAAAAATAATAAGCCGGATACAATTCGAAGATTAAGGAACAACGCAATCATCAACATTAACTGAAATAGATAATTAGATAATTTTAGCTTATACCATCCGTTATACATAAAACGCGCACGCGAAAACGTATTCTGCGCTTGCGCACACGCACATGCGCAGTCGTAAACGCCTATGCGCGTGTGTCAACGCGGCGCATGCGCAGAAAGTTTTTAGCTTTGAGGTCCAGATTATAGATCATTCCGGATTATGGGTGTCCGAATTAATGACTTTTGACTGTACTAAACTTTTTCAAGTGTGTCTTCACCTATAATATGCAATAAAATAGCTACTTTTATTTCAAGTGATTTAGTAATACTACGAGACGCTAACATATAAATTTGGAATTTTTGTTTCCATTTCTTCCAAAGAGATTTTCTTTTTTAATCTACGGTCGACTGCACCATGTGTTGTTTTTTATATATATGTTGGGTATGTGCTCAGTGATGATTACCAAGATGTACACAAACACCGTTTATTATACATTGCTCATCCACTATTCTATATTACAGTTATGATTAAAGATAATAATAGATACAGTTACATATATAACAACAGGCATCAGTTCCTTGAGAATTCTGCAGAAACAATAAGCATAACTTTTACAGAATCTCAGCCAATGTTTATGGTTGTTGGGATAATATGTAATTACCATTCTATCAAGTCAAAAAATCGATCTGAGAACCGAAAGTGCAAAGACTGAAAAATTGAAGATAATCAAATATGCACAATTCGAATTTTTCATTTATTGCCATTTTGCAATTTTAAATGAACATAGATAGAACAAGTTATTGAAAAACTGCTAATCTGTATTCTTTTTCACAGCCTGTGTAAAGTTGCTTTCTTTTATTCACTTTTCACACATTAAAGAATGCATTTTCCCCTCTCTCCTTTTCTCTTATTCCTCAGCCATTAAAATGGGTGTAATTGCATGCCTGTTGAAATACAGAACATGCCACCGTTATGTATTAATCTCTGCTCTCCCTGAAGCTCTAATTTTGAATTATTGTTTTTGAAATTTATTGCTAAAAATTGAAAATATCCAGTCTAGCTATAAATATTAATGAGAGTGTGTAAAGCTCAAAATTACTGTTAAATTGTACTCTAAAATAGTCAAGGACTTAATGAAAAAAAAGGTATGGACAAATTTGAGCATTTGTGGTAGAATCCTAAACTTCTTACTAAGTAGTTTTTGTCCGATTAGAAAAGTATACATAAAGGTTAATGAAGATAATGATTGCTTCTGATTTTTAATTAATAAAGTTGCAAAATGGGCTGTTGCCGAATGTGTGTGTGTAATATTTCTAAATATCAGTGTCATAACTTTATATACCTTTAAATTTTTATTTAAAATTTCAGGAATAAGTGATCATGTTAAGTGTTTCCATTGCAATGGAGGACTCTGCAATTGGGAAATTGGTGATGATCCTTGGGTTGAGCATGCCCGATGGTTCTGCAACTGTGATTTTCTACGAATGAACAAAGGAGAAGCTTTTATTGAATCATGTTTGCAAAAGTACAATGCATCAATGGTAATAATTAGTATGTTCTATTCAAATAACTTTCTCCAAATTTAAGTTGCATTTTACTTTTCCATAAATTATTTCAATTAATTCACTATATTTATTATGCAGCATTTATACTGCATAATAAATATAGTGTTGCACTAAGAAAGTAGGATATAACTTGAGCAGTTTTCAATGAATAAAAAACTTAGATTATGAGAAACTTCCCTTATTTGTAATGAGCATTTGCAGAGTTTTCCAAAATAATCAAGGTCTTACAACTCATTGGAAGGTCTTACAAGTAGTAAATCGTACTCAGTACAAGGGTTGTACTAATTACGAGGTCTACCGGAGAAGTTCTATCCAATAATATTATTTCAAGTTTCAACATGCATGCAGGTGTTCATTTGAGACATATAGGACTGTTTCTTTTTATCACCGTGTTTATAAACATCTGCTCTTCTAAATTAACTGAAACAAAAGTATTTCATATCATTAAGTGAGACGCGATCCATGTAAACATGTGTACCATTCAAGTTTATTTATGACACTATATTTTGTAGGAATTCCAACAAGAAATATTATAGAAGTGTATCAAAATGTAGTGACAGTTTTTGATGGAGATGCACTTTTAGATGGAACATGCAGGAGGAGATGGTTAAAAAAATTTGAAGCAGGTGATTTCGACCCTAATGACCAACTTGGCTCTGGGCAGCCATCTTTGATTAGTGATGATGTTATCTAGATTATGATGGAGCAGGACCCTTTTTTTGACAACGTTAGGGATTGCAGAAAAGCTTAATTCAGCTCAATAAACCATTTTGGGACATTACTCAGAAACTGGGATTGGTCTATAAATATTTCAGATGGGTGCCTCATGAGCTAAGTGAGAACAATTTGTATGATCGAATCATTATGTGCACGTATCTGCTTGCTTGCAATAAAAACAAACACTTTTGGACTAAATGATAACTGCGGATGAAAAGGGGATTACCTACGAAAACATTGTTAGGAAAAGAGTATACTGTGTATCTGGACAGCCTGGCCCCATCTGTAAACTGATCTTGCATCTGAATAAGAGAATGCTGCGTATATGGTGGGATGTCTAAGACCCAGTACATTATGAGCATTTGTAACCTAAGGAAAAGCCCAATTAAGGGAGATACTGTCAGCATATGAATGATTTAAACAAAGCAGTCAAAGAAAAGAGACTAGCAACAGTAGGAAGCTTATATTGCATCATGATATTGCCAGAACATATGTTGCTTTGGTGACTTATCAGAAAATGGCAGAGCTAGGCTGAGAAATTCTTCTGCATCTACCATACTTCTGAGACCTAGAACACTCTGATTATCACTTTCTGTCTTTGCAATTTTTAAGTGAAAAAATTCAAAAGTGAAGCAGATGTTCCATATTCAGCCAACCACTACTTGAGTTCTTTGTATCTAAAGACCAGACATTTTTCAAAAATGGTATCTACAAACTACGATCATGATGGCAAGAGATGATAAGTAACAGTGGAAATTATATTGTACAATAGATGGTATTAAATGTATGAAAATGCATTATGTTCTTTCACTTCCTGTGGAGACAGAATTTTTCTGTAGACCTTTTATAATATATATCTTTGCAACACTGTTGTCCATAATTTGTAGTATGCTGTAATAATTTAGTAATTAGTGTTATGATCTATTCGCTTCCGTTCTGTGTAATAATCTGACTTAACAACTAATGAAGGAAGTAGATGATAATGCATTCTTCTCTAGTGTGTGTATGGCAGCCAGTATATATTCAGTTAATTTAGGTATAAAATGAAAGTACTTAAGTGATTTTTATGGTGATAATATATAAACACTTTTATGGTGCTCCTGATAAGAAAATTCGATGTTTCCATGTTAACTACTGCTGGGAATATCTGTTGGGAGGTAAGGGTAATTTTGGCAGTTACAGTAGTATTGTGGAATTTAGGTGTTCCTTAGTTTCAGTTCTTCATTCAATCTTGAATTTCTGTGCAGTCTGAAATATTCTACAATGTATCAAACGTTAAGAATAATGTATACACTGTAAATTATGCTTAGTAAATTTTCATGCTATATTAAATGCTAAATGACAGATACAAAAAATTTTCTCGTAGTACTAAAATAGACAGTATAGAATTAAAAAATATACAGCATCATAATATTTCAAAACAGATTATATAAATATGCTTATGAAAAAAGTGTAAAGTGACTTAGAGTTCACTTTAATAATTTTCCTTCCCTAGCTGGTAGTCGCATGAGGACTGAAATTTTAATTTTTTTTGCTAATTAGGAGAAATAGTTTTTAATGCACAATTCCAATGAAAAAACTCATTGCACACATCTGGTTAGTTCACATGAGGCAGTCGTAATTTTAGTCTTAATTTTACAACTCAAATTTGATCATTATGGCCAAAATACGTTTATACAGGTTAACCCACAGGCAAATCAGTTCACTTTTTGTTATTATTTTCTTCAAAAACTAAATTTTCAAGACATATCATGTAAGAATATTTAAGTGGTTGTTGCACTAAAGACTAAAGTATTCATTGCAAAATCATTTTTTAAATTGTTGTCTTAGTCTTCAATGACATCTCTGTCTCTGTGATAAGTTAACTTTGTCTTGTCTAAATCAGGAAGTCTAATTCTCTGCATTTTTTAAATAAATGCTGAAGACATTAATAGTTAATGATCATCAGCATCTTGTGGCAGTTATGTAAGAGGTGAGGCTTTGATAATAGTTTCCATATTGCAAAGCAAAATCAGCATATCTTCGGGAAAACCTCTTTTAAACAATTTTTTCACCTCCCCACTGAGCTACAATTGGGGGATTGAATTTCCATTGGATTCTCATAGTATATGTGTTACAACAGATTTGATTCCAATTGATAGATCTCAAAAGATTTTGGGCTCCAACAAAATTAGTCTTAATTATCAAAAAAATTTTTAATGACCTCTTTTTGGAGTAAACCTTCCACATCCCAAATGAAAATCACTGGTAGATAAACTTTTGGTTAGGTTTCTTTTCATCCCTTTCTTTAAATATAACGTACCAGCTGCAGTGATTCTGATAACTTTAAAAACTAAAACATCTTGAATTCTATCTTCAGGAAGGGTCATAGATATAGTAAATATTCCTTAAGCTTCATAATTTCTGCAATGAAATGCACTTTAATAACACTCTAATGACAGTTTTTCTTTTTCTCCAAACTTAAAGTTTCTCTCAAACATTCATAAGAATGCAGTGTACTCCAGCATGGGAGGACTGTGATGTTCAAAGATCAATCTAATATCATGTTTCAATGGTAAAACTGTAGAGCATGAGAAATTTTCTTCATCATCTCTTCTAAAGATCTTCATCTTTATTCTAAGTATGCCATCTTTATCAAGAAATATGTGAACTCCTATGAGGTCAGTGTTTTCCTTAAGTGACTCCAACTGAATGATTTTCAACAATAACTTTTCTGCTATTTCTTCGACTGCCAGATTTTCCTTTAATTTTCTTTTCTTTTGTTGGTAATTTCTTATAAAGCAAAACATCCGGAAGATCATTCTTATTCATTATTGAGCATTCTAGTATCTTGAAAAATACCTAAGGTGTAATTTTTGTTTTACAGTGGAAAGAAGACATTTTCTTCTTTGAAAATATCTTCTTCATTAACTGTCTGTTTTGTTTTTGATCATTCTCCTATTTTTTTTATCACAAGACATTGCACTCACTCAGATTTCAGCAGAATCCTAATGGAATACGCATGAGAATGCAATTCAGCTGAGTTAGGGTCTCCTGGCTTATACTTCTAATTATTTCTCTCAGATAATGACAAGATTTAATTCTATTTTGGACACATACTCCACAATGATCATCTTTTTGTATCCATACAAGCGCAGTAAATGCCCAACTTTCCAGCACTCAACTAGCTAGAAAGCTCAAATAACTGGAATAAATTCAGAACTGTATAAAAATTGCAACTCCCCTCCGTAAAACTTAATACAGTAAAATTTCAACTGTCCAGAAAGCTCAAGCAATGATGAATTACAGATATGTGAAAATTCCAGCCTAATAAATGCAATTCCTGGTAGAAAAGCCAAATGAATGGAAGAAAAAATTTCTGGTATAAAATTATAAAAAGAGTTCTTTTATTTTTATCAACTCAAAAATACCTGCTTTTAAATTATATGAGACGCTGAAAGAAAAAGAGCATTCCAGATACGAATGCAGAAGTAAAGCATCATATTCGATTATGAAATTCTGTCGACCATGAAAATTGGTGGTGAACTCGCCAGACTTGAGCCAGTCATTTCAGCAGAAGTTTGAAGGAACAGATAGCTCTTGTTTAGCTGTTGTTTAAGTTGCTTCGTTTCATGTGATAATACTTTCTCTTTAATTCTACTAAACAGACATAATTTCTTGTTTAGTTACAAAGTTCCGCTGTTCAAGTCGTATATTTGCTGTGTTGAGAATACCGACTAATTTGTCAAACGAAATTTTTTCCTTTTCAATAACCGTGTCACTTTCTTCACTATCGGAAGCGAATTATAATGAATAGGAACTTGATTTAAATCATATCAAAGATGGAGTACATCGAGATGAAATACAACATTTAGTAAGGAATTATAAGCCAAATAAAATAAAAACATCTGCCCTGAAGATAAGAATAGTGCTGACAGATCAACCTCCAATTCATTGCGCGCCGCGGCGTTCCCCCCCCCTCCCGCCGCAGAGCAGTGTGAAATTGATAAACAGATTTCGAAATTTTTAGAGAAACAAAGGATATGCCATTATCCATTTTTTGCAGCAATTCCACTTTTTGTTTAATGGACATCGAAACATACTTTCTCTTTGTAGATCCTTTACATATTAGTAAATATATATCGGTAATTCTATTTGGCATAATCGAAAGTTCAACCTTACATTTATAAAATTGCTCTAACAGTCTGCAAAAATAATAAGCCGGATCAAATTAGAAGATTAAGGAACAACGCAATCTGCAACATTAACTGAAATAGATA